AAACTTTTACAGCCTGTTTGCATGAGCCCTGTATACAAATTTCAAAATGTTTGGGGTGCGGACTTGGATTTTGGGCCCCTGTGCGTCCTACAGTATGTGCCTGTTAGTGTTGAGCACTCCAAACCAGCCAAATGTACATTTTTTTTGTAAGAAGATTTGTGAAGATTATAAGGTTCTGTCTCCTGGCAGAGATTGTCAATTTCTGGTACAAAAGAATCAAGGAGCAGTTCACGGAACACATAATTAATCATAGCAATATTCAGTTAAGCATTTCCTTACAAACTCTTTCTATCGGCACGGACTAGGGTGATTAAGTGAGCTGAATTATACATGTGGGTGGCTTCCAGCATGCGTGGATGAGAGAATACATACAGTATAATTTCCGTACTGGTATTTTCTTTTTAAGTGTGTGTGGCGAGCGTTTCAAAGGGTGCTAGTTTAACAAAATCCAAGAGTTGTGTCTAGCCTTAAAGCCTATCTGCCCTAGTTTGGCCAGGAGGGATTAGACCACCCTGTGTGATCACTGGCAGGTGGTTATCAAATCAAATCAGCTCTCAATTAACATAAGAAAAAGGGGACCATGGGGGGGATCAACTGGTACCGCTTAGGCATTGTTGGCTGTATAGAGGGCGCAAGTACATGTAGATCTACAAGTAGTGCAGTCCTGCTTTAAAACCATCCTTCCTGTTTCATCACAGAACAGAGAGAGACAGAACAAATCATGCCTCTTAAAGATGAAGTTGAGTTCTGGTCATGCGATTGCATTGTGAAAGAAACGGTGTGGAACCGACCCAGAAAAGGTTGATCATCTAGCATAAGAATTTGTGTGTATTGCAAGGTTCTGGAATCATCAAAATGATAAGAAATTTGGCCAAGTCTTGGTAAAGACTACACAAACATGTGGTGTAAAAAGCCGGCCCCCCAATTTCTATGATGTTACATGCATATTTAGAATATGAAGGCATTTGAAGAGCCATACTTTTCAAGGAACATGTCTTAACTGATGTTCTTCCACACTTGCATAATAAGAATGAGTAATGCTCACAAATTATTTTTCACCTCTTCCCAGAACTCAACCTTCTCTTTAAGCAATAAAGATATCCTACATCTGATATAACATCACGTACGGCCATTCCATCTCCCTTCTCCCTTCGAAGCCTCGACTCACTGCTGGCTCTCCATGCATTTCAACAGTTGACTCATAAGCCTAGCACTTGCTGAAAATTCAATTATACACAGGGAATTAGGCTAATATCTTGACTCTGTCAATTAACATTGAAATGACATCATTACGGTATAGGTAACAGTAAACCTCTATGACATGCTGGGGTACAGTGTACATTGCACATCGTTATATACAGATAATATGGACTGACCCTTCTTACATTGTATATTACCATTAAAACGTTTGTCACCATTATGTAATGTGATATCAGGGGGGAGGGGGGGGGGTGTTTCACAAAACTTGTCATGGGTGATAAATGACAGTTGTTGTTATAAGCTACTGAAATCCTTCCCTATGATTGGTTATCAGCAGATTTGTCACCGATTTTAGTCATTTGTGATTGAAAAAGGCTTTGTGAAATGGGTCCCTGAACATAAAAATTACTCTAACCCATCCCATCCCCCCCTTTTTTTCTTCTTCATGTACATGCTGCAGAAATTACAATTTGTAGGTTCTTTACATTGCTCATTTAATGATCAATGGGATGTCAGACCCTTAAAGCTAACCCTGTAAGTGTAACCAATCATCATCAGATTGGGGGCCAATCGTTGGCCGATTCAGGTGGAAGGAGATAATTTATGCTACTCTTGAAATGGTTGGACTGTGTGGTAGTCTGTATCACAGACATACTGTACATGTAGTGGTGTATCAGTAAGTGTTTTGTAAAGGGGAACATCATCCATGTGTTACGGTGTCTCCTTCCTCTGTGGAAAACTTTGCAATATAAAAGCTCTGAAAAACTTTGCAATATAAAAGCTCTGAAAAACTCTTTCTTAGTCTTTCATTAGAGGCCATAGGATTTTGATTGACTTTTTGGAGGTGGGATGTAATACTAGTAGGCTGTGAATGGTAAATATTGTCACCGGTCTTTGTGTTCACATGCAAGATGTTGTTTCATTGCCATAAATGTTCAACCTCTAACACTCAAATTTCATTTTGACTAGTAATCAGTCATTGACAACTTGTTCTGTCCTCGATTTGGGTATTAAATTAATATTGTGTGTGATTTCATCATGACTACCCAATTTGAAGTGACCAACAAGAGTCTGACAGCTGTTTGGGGTCAGTGGTTCACTGCCCAGTCTTCTTTATATACAGAAGGTGAATGAAGCCCTCACATTGTATTCAAAGTCATTGAGAGATTAACATAATTAGTTGGTCTAACCATTGTGATAAATCCTGAAGTATTTAATATTGGAGACCTCCCTTTTTTCAGATGAAAGTTGATTGCTTTTACAGTAAGTCTGTAGTCCTAAACTTACCTCAAAAGCAAGCTATTCATTTAAAAGATCAGAGGGTTCTGAATATACAACTGAAGGGTAGAACTTGTTTGCAAATAGAGTAACCATTTGTTTGCAAGGTTAAGATTTTAAAAAGGAGTTTGGGATTTGATGAAAATCCAATTTCATTTTTTTTTTTTTTTGGAGGGGGGGGGGGGGTAATCATGCTTTTTACTAAAAATTAATTAATCTCAATTCCATTAAAATGAATATGAACATGTAGATAATTCAATTATCTTTGATATGACAGCAAACTCACAGTGGTTCAATGTTTCCTTAAAATAATATTTTTAAAATATTATTTTTTTTTGTGAAAAGGGGCACTTTTTGGACGTCTTCTCCAATGTAGGGGTGTTCGCTACAAATTATTTTAAAAAACGCCTCTGAAATATTGTGTATTCTGATAAATTCTCCCAAATGAACAAGGTGGGCTTAGTTTGTGTGGTAGTTGCAACCAACTCAAAAAATAAGCAATAACAATGATATTTGACTTTGGCCCTCCGCTTATTATCAATCATTTTTAAAACCCATGTTACTGGTCTCCTCAAAAGATGTGCAAAGGTATGCAAGGCTCTGAACAAATTTATCCCTGCTTCGGTGAATGTCTTATGGGACATTATATACCCCCAAAATATGCCCTTCTGGGGACAATTTTTGCTGATTTGAAGGGGAAAAAAGCCCCAGAAAAATTGCTGTAGAAGATCAACTTAGATGCAAGTTGGGGCTTTGATCAGATTGGAACATTGGAGCGACACCCTTGCACCTTCGATCAATATGGGCAAAAAGTATCGGTTCTATTTTTTAATTTTTTTTTCTTCATCTGTTGTACTTGAAATTGTGAGCACTCTTATACCTAAAACCACTCATATATTTGATAATTCTCTCATTTGAAGTTGTTGTAGTTCATGTTTAAAACTATTTTCATGCCGTTAAATGTCAAAAATCGGAAGAAAATTGGTAGAAATAATTTTTAAAATTTTTTTTTAAGGCCAAAAATTTCAAGATTTGGGTTATCAAATACTAAAAAAACATGCATACAGCTGGGATTATTTTGTAATTTGGAGTTGTTGTAGACCATGTTAGTTGATATTAAGTGCCTTTTCATGATTTTGAAATTGATAATAATTATATTAGTCCAAGAGAGAAGGCAAAACATGCGAGCCGCCATTTTGGATTATAATGACAACAAAGAAAAAATGTGTGCCTAAATTGTTCGCAGTTCGCTCAAAATTGTCGAATATGCACAGGTTGAGAAGGGCTCTTTTTCTTTGATCATGCATATTCAGCAATTTCGAGCAAACGGCACCCTGTAGCATGAATATTCATATTAGCTGTGCCTCATCCGCACATGCGTACTTTCTCTTCGCCATGTTAAACCGACGATACAACATGGATAAATCATCGGGTATGGACAAAGAATCATTTTTTCTAATCGAAGACTTCTTCAAAATATAATTTCAAAATTCAAATGGTTGGAAAGATGCCCGGCGGAGTCAACAAACATTGCGAGTCAAAATTGTAATTACTACCTCTTTATATTGCGAAAAAATGTGACCCAACCCGCTGTTTGAATCGTTTTCATACACAAGCTCTGGAGCTAGCGTGAACTATGGTCACACCACCATATTATGTGTAGTGTGATAGTGTTACTTGTGGATTTTTTTGCATTCTTCTTTCCCTTTAATAATAATTTTTTCAATCCTGATTCCTAGTCAGGTCCATCACCATTCATTCTTCACACTGATAATATTAAATTTGATTATCGATCACTTAAGTATAGGAAGTAGCTACTCCCGTCTACTTGTTATAAGGCCAAAAAGGTGGTATCATTTGCAACGAAACAACAAAACCTTCTCACCTAACTGCGCTATATAAAGCGCCCGGCGCCGGTTACTGTTCGCCTTGTTGCCACCACTCCTCGCTCCAAAGATGCCGCTCAAATGCCCCGGTACGGTCTGGTCCGATGATCGGTCTCGGTGGTCTTGCTTCCAACTTCAGTTTGTATGCGTCTCTTTGGTAAAGGTTTTTTGAAGAAATAACGTTTAAAACACGTCAATAAGAGAACTATGGAAATTGCAGGAGAGCAACACTCAGTCGATAAATATTGAATAGTCTTTCCTTGCGCAATGTGCCATAGATTTTCGAAATAATTGGTCATCAATTTTCCTCTCTCATCCGCAAATTCGCAGTCGCAGTGACGAGTCCGCCCGCACACATAGAATACAAATACGTTGTCATTCGCAGCCGTTATAGCCTAGCCTACATGTAGCTGCTCTCCGCCAAATTTGGCCTTATTCTATTCGTCTTCAATTTGTAATATTGTAAATCTTCAATTGAAAAATAATTGATCCTTTACCAGGAATAAAAGATCTCACCTTTGATACTTTTATCAAATATTTTATGATTCAAAAATATTTCAAGTCACTCATGATATAAAAATGATTTAAATGAAACAGGCAAATACAATTTATATATTTTCTTTTACTGAAAATAGACTAAAAATCAAATTTCTCTCAAGTCAGACTCAAGTCTTTTTGTCCATTTAAACTGTCATTCAGCCCAGCTGCTCCAGACTTTATCGCTTGTGCAGGTGAGAATTTTCTTATTACTAATCAGCGTTTTCATTGAATTTTTCCGGGATAAAATAGATTTTACAATACCAGAAAGAATGGATGGTGTAGCAGAATTATGAACATTACTGTTTACACTTCAGAGCTGAGTTCGGTCCCACTAACTGAGATTCATGTGATGAAAAATGGGTTCTAGAGTAGCTATATTTAAACCTTAATGTTGGGGCTTTGCCCTTGCCTTGGTGATAATATGAAATATGATATTCATTGATGATGATGTCAGCCTTAATTGGCACGAATTTGCTTGCATGAAGAATGGTGTAAAGGAAACATTTAAAATGTACTTAATTAATCACTCATTCGATCCTGCACGCGCTCCCATTGGCCGATCCGCTCGAGCGGTTTTGAATTTAAGTAAGAGGGGGCTAACCTAAGCTAAGCAGAGAGCACAATGACGATGCCAATACGTAATAGACCTATTACATAATTAATACACAGACACATCTAAAATCAGGGAGCTTCGGAGCTCCAGAGCCTACATAGGAAACGATTCAAACAGCAGACTGGGTCACATTTTTTCTAAATGTAAAGAAGTAGTACCGGTAATTACAATTTTGACTTACCACTTTTTTCGAATGCTCTGGGCATCCATTCAATCACTTGAGAATTGAAATTATAATATGAAGAAGTCTTTGATGAGAAACAGGGTGATTCCTTGTCCTTAACCAAGTCATCCCATGTTGTCGTTGATTCAGTATTGTGCGCTGGTTTCCATTGTCCGTTTGTTTTACTCCATAAAAGATAATACTGCGAACCATTGGAGCACTAGAGACTGGTCTTACATGGCTGATATACTGCTTTTGTTTTTGGTAAATGTCATAACTGTGTACAATCACAGATAAACTGGACGTGTACACGTAGAGGAAATTATATTCTTCAAAGTATTTTTGAAGTAAATCTTGTTAATGCTTCTATGAGTTTTAAAGACACCATCTATTGATTCTCAAAACTCTTTAACACCACAAATTTACTCACAGTTGGCAATTGATGACACCTAAATAGCAGTAAAATATTTAAAAAACCAACTCCCAATGTTGTAACAAATACTTTGAAAATTTAAATGTAATCATGTGCATTATCAATATTCATAACTGAAAAATGATATCTAACTATATCGAAAACTTAATTGTACATGTTTTGATATGAATTGTGTTAAAATAAACTTTGTTATGCGGGATGGAGCAACCGAAAACTAATTATGTACATGACTGTATTGATGATGTGTCACAGAGTATATAATTGTAGATGATATTGATGCAATAAATAATTTCATGTCATTCTAGATAGTCATTTATTACTAAGATGTACATAACTCTTTTGAACTTCTCTTTATTTATACTGAAAGAAATAATAAGTGCATTTCTTCTTTTCAATTGTCTCTTGTATTCTCATTTTCCTTTGTTCTCTCCTCCTACTGGTATTGTATTCCATCTCTTCTTTTATAAACTCCTGGGGGGGGGGGGGTGTTTCACAAAGATCCTAAGTTGAAATTATCTCTAAGTTGGACTTAACAATTATGGAAAGCCGTTAGCATCCTTGAAAATATTTTGTAAAAGTTATTTTAAAAGGCATAAAATGTTGATTCAAATCATTCATATTTTCTATTATCATGGGAGATTTCATGTTCTTGATGTGGAATTTATGATAAGTCTAAAATACTTGAATTTTCGCTTTTGAATATATTTCATTATAAGGCTACAAATGGCTCTCCATAATATTTAAGTCCAACTTAGAGTTAAGCTCGACTTAGAATCTTTGTGAAACACCCCCAGGTGTTTGCTAATTTATCGTAATCTGCATCTGAATCAGAAAGCTTTGTAATCTACATGATTTTACATAATTTATAGAAAAGTTCAAGCAAAGGTCTTCCTAGGAAGTATCCTGTAAATCTCTACAATGCAAATCTAGCACCTTTTCTATCACATTAATCCAGCTGTTACTACATGTACTATTGCACAGCAGGATACAGTATTAGAGACATTCATGACCTACTACAGCTGTGCAATCACATGTCATTACAGGTCAGAAGCATTTGGAGGCCCATCTAGGTCCAGTCCCAGATACATGATGAGCCTATCTGGATCCAGTCTTTGGTTTGGTACACGAAGGTCTAGTCTCTGAGAGACCAAAAAGTGTATGCCCATCTAGGTCCAGTCCTAGATACATGATGAAGGTCTAGTCTCCAAGAGCCTATCCGGATCCAGTCTTTGGTTTGGTACATGCAGGTCTAGTCTCCAAGAGTCCAAACAGATACAGCCCATCTAGGTCCAGTCCTTGATACATGAAAGCTAAGTCCTTGAGAGCCCAACCAGGTCTAACTCTAAGCCCAGCAGTTCAGCATGGCTCGATCTCCAACAACTACTAGCATCAGCAGTGGGAATGTCACTGTTGTTGGCAAACAAGGGGTAACTATTTGAACACCTCTACTCTACTCTCCTTTCTTTCTTTCACTAAATCACAATCTCAAGTTGGTCAATTGTTCCGTTTGTCAACTTCATTTATTTATATACTTATTATAAAGTTCAGTTGAGGGGTCATTAGGTATTTAAGTTCATCATTATGTACAAGAATGTACATCTATAACAATTTTGTTTTGTGGATCCCTTGTAATCTGTTCCACAATGATTTCTTACAAGTAAGGGACCATTATAAGAATATTTATAGAAACAAGGTGATGAACATTGTTGGAATAACTGACAAATTCTTGAGTCATTTGTTCATTTTACAGGGTCATTGTACTTTTTTACACCTGTCCTTGTCACATGTATATTTTGTCTACACTAGGGCAACAGTTTCTAACCTTGATGCTCTAATTGCTTTGACAGCTCACTCAGGAAGCCATAGTACAACTTGAACATGAAACGATGGCCGATTGATCAAAAGAAAAGAACATGGCAATGCACTCTGAATTAGAATAGATAAGGACCAAAATCATGAGTAGACCAAACAAGAAATGCCTGTACAGGAATATCCTAGCTTATTCAAACTTACTACAGTCAAACCTGCTTTAGTGACCACCTGTTTACAAAGGCCACATTTGTTGTTTCCCTTGAAAATTGTTTCTCATTGAATCATGTACTAAAGGAACCTGTCTGCAAAGGCCACCTTTTTTTTCTTCCCTTGGGCGGTCGCTATAGACAAGTTTGGCTGTATGTATATCCATAAACAGATAGAATTAAAATAGAATAGGTAATTTTAAATATCCTACATAGTTTACCTGACTGTGTATAATGTAGAACAAATCACTGCTTAGCCACTCAGATTTAGAAGTATTTTCAATATCGAGCTATATTTAGAGGAAAGAAATGCATGTGTTACCTCCAGAGTTTAACAGCTTTACCAACGAATGCTGTGTCAATTAATTCACTCCTACAGGAAAGAATACTCTAATTCAAATGTTTGTAAACAAAAGAGTGGCTTTGAAAGTGAAAGGTTGAAAGGCTGTAAAGCGCTTTGAGAGGGCCTGCGGTCCTGAAAAGCGCTATATAAGAACATATTATATCAATATATTAATATTAATATATTAATATTAACATATTAATATTATTGTTATTGTTATTATAGGACTATAGCCCAGCAGCGATAGTGGGGGGTCTGCGCGCCCCCTCTCCTGCGCCGAGCGAGGCAAGCACCAGCTCCAGCAACCAGTCTCTGGACCTGATGCGCTGCAAGAAGTGCAGCGTGGACAACTGCCAGGAGATGCTGGTGGTGTCGGGGAAGCGGCGCAAGGGTCCGTGGATGTGCAGCTACCACCGTAATAAGACGTACAAGGCCAAGAAGAAACAGAAGGACCAGATGACGACTAACATTCAAATGTTCAAGAAAAAGGTTGGTATCCCCTTAATACCGTGGATTGAAATTTAAGGTAGCTTGCAACTTGAAGACGGTTCAAACAAATCTTTAGTTGTATCAATATTTCCCACCAAGATGTACGGAATTTGGATTGTTAATGTTTGAAATTGAACTCATAAACTGGTAAGTTTGTCAAGGATTAGAGCAAACAGATATTAAGACCAACCGAATTTATCATAGGTATATGTCCAATTTAAAGTCAAGAGACAGTCACTAGTTTCGAAAGTGTGAAATAGATTTTTTTCATGTAGCAAGCGGACACCCAAGTCTTTTCAACTGCATCATATCTTTTAAGCCCCACAGCACTTCTTATAGCTACTTGCGCCCTCCTTATAGCGAACGATGCCTAATCGGTGACTGTTGATCCCCCATGGTCCCCTTTTTTGTATGTTGATTAAGAGCTGATTTGATGAGATAACCACCTCCTGGCCAAACTAGTGCAGATAGGCTTTAAAAGGAAACTTTTTAGAGACATGAACATGGACATAATGCGACATCGTTATCTTTCTCTTTTCTGTAACTTAATATACTTCTAATTTATTATTTGTTATATCTTGCTATTCTGTGATATTTATTTATTTAAAGTCACATGAAGTGGAAAAGAAGATCTTCAGGTTATAGTTATATAGATAACCCATGTGACTCGTTTCAAATCTTACTGTTCTCTTATGATTTTGTCTTTGCCGAATAATGATACTAATAATGATGATGATGATATTTATCAACAGGAAGAAGAGAATGTACCCAAGCCTTCAAGTCTGCAGTCTATCCCTGGTGGAGAGAAGTCTGCACCTGATGATGGACTACCTAGACTAGACCAGGTCCTCAATGAGAAGAAACTGGTAAGTGACAACAGGCCAAGACAGGCTCAGATGTCTTAAAGCCCATCTGTACTAGTTTGGCTAGGAGGGATGAGACCACCCAGGAAAGTCACTGACAGGTGGCCATCTCATCAACTCAGCTCTCAATTAACATAAGAAAAAGAGGATCATAGGGGACCAATGGTCACCCAATTAGGCATTGTTTTCTATATAGAGGGAGCAAGTAGCTACAAGTAGTACAGTGGGCCTTTAAAACCTGCATGGTAGATTGCTGAGGGCTCAAAGGTCAAAGGTCGTCCAGAATGGATGTTATTGGTATTTTGTGGAAATTGATTATGAATTTACCTATAAAACATGAGATCACATTACTGACAAATTATTAATGACTGGTATTTCAAGATAGTAAGACATTTCATTTTCATATTCATCCTCTTCTTCTTTTTCCTCTTCCTCTTCCTCTTCTTTGTATTAATATTTTTATTGTTATTTGTGTAAGTTATTGTTTTTGTTCCAGCATTCTATCAGTGGAGTAATGTCTTTGACAGCTTTTTGTATCAATTCCTGCACTGCCTGATGAGCATTATTATGAAACGGAGGAGAGAATAAGAATAACAAAAACAGTGCAGGGGTAAACCACTCCAGTCATATTATAAACATAGGTGTGATGACTCAAGCAGAATATGACTAGGAAGGAAATGAAATTATTATGTCTGTCCGTACCTGTCCCGAGGTTATGTTTATTTAATTCAACAGGGAATGCTTTCTCATGCAGTGGGTGTCATGATAGCTTTAAAGATCATCAGGTGGGAAAATGAAAGGGAGCCATTGCCTTTTAAGGAGTGGGGTACTGGCTGTTCAGCATCGGGCTTTGTTTACAATTTGTTTAGAATACATGCCTGTGTAAGGAAAAATAACAGTGCAGGCATTCAGGCAGTTCACAAAATCAGTGCCTTTCATGGACAATGTGCACATGTGTCTTGGGAAAGGTAAAGTAAGCATCCAGGCAGCTCACAAGAAAACATACATCTGTCATCCTCTTCCTCTTTTCCGCTTCCTCCACCCTCAACCTCTCCATTTCTCTTTCTACCTTTGATGACAGATTAGAAGAAGAAGAAGATATCAATTCTCCATTTCCTTTTCTGCCTTTTTACATACCGTAATTAACGTTGTATAAACCGCCCTCGTGTATTAACCGCACCCCTCTTTTTAGCCCTGAAAAAAAAAAAAAAAAAACTTTTTTTTTTTGCCAACTTTTTTTTTGCCGACTTAAAAAACAGTAGAGGACCTAGGATAGAACCTTGTGGTAGGCCATGTAATAAGGGAGTTTACAGATACAATCTGCGCATGGGCAGATAAAGGTCATTTGTACCAAACTGGTAAAACCCACAGAGATGAATACTGGATATGCACTCATGAAAGTTATGTAACATTATTCATTTATGCACCAACGGTACATTCTATGATACGCAGGTGGAAGTATTCTTTTCAAGAGGTCAAACAAAAGGTATTCATGAAGCACATCTAGGACTTTGGCATTTATTTGGGGTCATTTGTACCATGTGCTATCTGTAAACTCCCTTATAGAAGAAAAATTGGAGGAATTATTATTATCAACTACATATTGAAATCTATCAGAAAGATTACTTTCAAACCAAGATGACAGACAAATTTGAGTGTTGTTCTAGTTTCCGAGTGGTGAGTCAACACACCGATTACTGAGCTGGGAGACATTGCCAGGCATAGTGCCAGGTGGAGGGGCATAAATCGAAACTTTAATTTGTTTTTTTTTTGTTTTGTTTTTTTGGTGTACCGTGTATAAACCGCACCCCCGACTTTGAAAGGGTGCGGTTAATACACTGTTAATTACGATACCTAAATAAAAATATCATTGAAACTTTGGAACTCTCTCCCACTTTAAAAGCAGGACTGCACTACTTGTAGTACCTGTTGATCCCCCAGGGTCCCCTTTTTCTTATGTTAATTGAGAGCTGATTTGATGAGATAACCATGTGCCAGTGAAAGGAAATCATGTAGGAATGTTAAAGCCATTTTAGTATTTGCCATGTAGCTTTATAGGGATTGCAATCATCATCATCATCGTATGGCTTCTGTTTTTCCCATGCTCTCTGAAGCCAATAACTTTTTTTTCTCTGACCATACCATCTCGGTCTACCCATCCTGATCTCCTGTGAGATTATTGTCCGCCCTAAGGATTGGAAGATATCTTCATTTTTCTTTCTACCTTGTTGAAAACCCCTCATGGTGGGTTTGCAACTTTCCCTGTGATGTATATTTACTGTGTTCATGGTTTTTGATATTTCAGGCTCTATTGAGATCACCAGCCATCATCAAGTTCCTTCAGGAAAGCCAGCAGCAGCTGTCCCACACGCACCATCAGCAGAGCTCAAGGACATCATTCACACCAGGACATACCTCGGCATCTTCAAGAGACGAACACTTCCTGCATGCATCTCCTCCAAAGTTCGCGAAGGGAGGACAAATGTGAACTCACATGTAACATGACTTTGAACTCCTTGACATGTTTCAGCAAACATCATTCACACCAGGGCATACCTCGGCATCTTCAAGAACTCATGCAACTCCTAGACATGTTTCAACACTGCCCAGAATGAAACACTTCCGCATGTATCTCCTCCGAAGAGACCAAACCGGCCAAGGAAGAAGAAATGTGGTCGGAGAAACTCCAGAACATGTGACAGCACAGCAGTGTTGATACAATACTTCTTTCAAGCTGAATGTCTTTCCAAGTTGGCAAAGGAGGAAAAATGTGGACATGTTTCAGTATTGTTTCAGTTACCTCCAGAAGTTAGCAAAGAGATGAATGTCATCAAATATGGTTCGGTCACTCCTAGACATACTGCAGCAACACCAAGATATAAACAGTTCCTTATTACACCTTTTAACAAGCTGGAGAAGGAAGGGCAAACACGTGGACACGTTCTCCGAGATGAACGCTTCCTAGACGTGTCTTCTCCTTATCTTGCAAAGGGGAAGACGATGTGATCCTAATTGTGTGGTGGTGGTTATTTTACCCGACTGCTAAGAAGCATAAATGCTTGTTAATAAGCAACCAGACGGCCGGCGGCTTTAGGTCCTTTTCTACGGGCCTGTGTAAAACCCATGGCGTGTAAATGAGCCATTACTTCATTATCTAATGCCCAGTTTATATTTTGACTGTGCAATTTTTGTAAATGGATGTAAATACATTGATATGTTAATAAATTATTGAACAACTGAAAGATTTGTCATACGTGCATGTATTCCTTACAAAAGTAATTATCATTGATTAGAAAATGTATACAAGGCTTTTTTTTTCTAATACTGTGAGTCGTTTGCTCATTCACATTTACTCTAAAATCCTGATTTAAAAAGAATTGTATCATTTGAGTGAGCATAGTGATGGTGGTGAGCAGAAAGGAGTGATAGGGATAGATGATGTTGATGATGGTGGAGGTGATATTGATGGTGATCATGATGATGGTAATAATAATGGTGAGGATGATGATAAAATAGATTATGGTGGTGTTCATTATAATGACAGTGTTGTTGGCAAAGGTGATGATGATGGTTGCGCCAAGGACAATTATCTTGGCGATAATGGTAATGAAGATGGTGATAAAGTTGGTGATGGGGTTGTTGATGGTTATGATGGTGGCAGTGATGATGATGACAGTCATGGTGATGATGTCAGCTGAGAAGATAATGGTGATGAAGATGAAAGATGAATGAAAAAAGAAGATGCCTGGTAAGGATGAAAATTGTAGTGGTTAAGGTTTGCCAATTAATCATTGAATATAAAACTATAATCTTGAAGAAAAAAACAATTATCATATCTCTGATAGACACACATCCATTAAAACATCACAAGTAAATACACGAAGCAAAGTTCTGGCTTTTCTAAAACACAAGATTTATTTTAAGAAGCCAATTTCTCTTTTTCATACAAATAATCACAATTATATTACTACATGTACCAGTAATATCTTTCACATCTACGTGATGCAGTTCTTGGGCATTAAAAGGCATCTGATAGAAGGAACATTAAATATTAAAAGCAGTCCGTGAACATTTCACTATGAACATGACGGACAAAGAAAGAGGACAAAATATACAGTTCCTCACTCTACGCTCAACAATTGCTGTGGTAGACAAAGGAACATCACTTCACTGCTAGTATGTAAAATAAGTCGAACAGGTGAATATGCATGTGACACCTGTTCTACACATTTTTACATAATAGCAGTGAAGGGATGTTCCTTTGTCTACCACAGCAAATGTTGAGGGTAGAATGAGGAACTGTATATTTTGTCTTCTTTCTTTGTCCGTCATGTTCATAGTGTTTGTAGCTATGCCTGCGATTAACCAATGTTGGTTGATTTGTTGATTGCTCATACTTAATACAAATCATGGATTTCATTTTGGTCATGTTTGGTATCAGTTACACTTCATGCTAAAACCGACCCAGCATAAATACTTTGTGTATGTTGTTTAATTCCAAAGATGTTACCAAATTTGAAAGATCTTTTTCCGAACGAAGGATATGAAAAACCCAAAGAGAATGACAGTCCTCATTCAAAGAAAAGACGCAAAAGGACAGAATGAGTTATTCTCTTTCTGTTTATGCATGGACACAATGCTGCAGCTTACATACATGTGACAGACGATAATTTTCATTTCAACCCCGTTTGAGAGGTTCAACAGTTGCTAGATGTCAAAATACATCCCAGTCGCAGAAGGATCAAATGTAAATCATTGTCTCTGTTCTATCTTCAGTTGCATACAAAGTTCTTTATTCTGATCCTGAAATAACAAATTCACAGAAGAAAATGAGTAATTTTCAAACAGACATGATCAACAAATTATCCCTTTTTCCATTTTCAATGACAAATAACTCTGATGTACCAAACCCTCCACTCTACCGATAAATATTCCTGTTATCTTCTTCGGCCACTCAAATGAATTTAATTTAAAATTGTGGAATTTAATCAGTTACTTAACATTCAAATAGCCTTGGCTGGATTAAAGGTAGAATCAATCACTTGAAAAATCCTGGGCTTTGCTTGAAATACTGGACAAACCTGTGCATTGCTGCTGTTACTTGTGATTTCATAGTCAATAGTCTACTATTTGAGTAATTCTGATTTTGTATGTTGCTACTTAAGCTTCATTTCCAAATACTGTAGTGACAGTAGACATGTTCATTTGGCTAATCACATTCCATGTTACATTAGACTTCAATGGGTATGAAGTAAATGTTCATGAATGTACACTCCATGCCCTGAAATTCCAAATATTTGCTCTCATACTTTGTGAGAAGATTGTGTTAGGGATCTACTAAATAATTGGTAACTTTTGCAAAATGAATCTTTCAAAAATTGCAAGATCTTGAGACAAGTGCAGCTCATTCATTTCACAGATTTACACCTCTCACAAAATTCATGAAAGTTTCTGGTTTTATAGGAATTCATTCTTTGCTACAAAGGTTAAAGAACATGTCTACAACCAATCAATGTCATGACAGTTTATAAATGATCAACACACTATGTTTGCACAGTCCCTGATCATGACCAAAGCGGGAGGGGATTCAGAGAAATTAAGATTTATTTAAATGATCCTATAAAAGTAGATGACGTCTGTGACTCAAGAATGCACTAGTAGGCTGAATGATTGTAAAAGCATTACAAATACAGGTATACATACAACAACAATGATGTAGTTGGCAACATATTGTGTTTAGGGGATGGTCTATATTTCTTGAAATCAAATACGATCTTGATTACCAATGTCTCCATCTTCGTAGACATATTCAGGGATATTCCAGGATATTCAGACAATCAGCATTAAAAATTGCAATATATTTACACTATACAGTATGTACAACATACAGGTATTAAATTCTTACGGTGGAATTCCATGTTGAATTCCTTTCTAAAAGAATTCTTTGGACAAAGTAGAGTGGAGATGCTACTGAAATACAATTTCTATTGTTCCTGAATTCAACTTGCCATACCCAAATGGCAAATGCAGTACAATAGGTGTGATGTGGAAATACTTTGATTGGGAAAGGTTTCAAGGAATATGACCCCCAGGGCGCGGAAAAACTGAAAATATTCAAGTTGTGAATCCTAAAAGGTTGGGAAAAGAAATACAGAAAGCTGCATAGGTTCCTTCTTTCTTTTAACGATTCCAGAAGAGTTCCAAATTAAGCATTAAACCGCTTTTCAAATGCCCTCTAGAAAAAACCAAGGTGAGATGCTAAGTGTACCTTTGAAACAAAACCTTTTGAGGAAGGTGGGTTTGAATCCTTGGGAGGGGAGGGGGGTATAGGGGAGGGGTCTAGTCTGAATGGTATGCATTACCCACTAGAGATGGATTGAGATCATCATCTCCGCTGGCAGCATCTAGCACCTCGTACTCTTCACCCCCTTCTTTATCCCTATCCCGACGGGAGTGTCTGTGCCTGTGACGTGATGAGCTGTACTTGTCGTCTTCGTCATCTCGTTTCCTACAAAGAAGGAGCACAGATAGAGAGAGAGAGAGGGGGGGGGAGTGAAATTTTAAAAAAGATTAAAACTTTATACGGTTGTAAGCATAGAAGAGCCAAATGAGAATTTAGTTGGAAGGGCTATCACTTTTTTACATTCAACTAATACAAACATTAAATTCTTCATAGGCTTTACCAGTGCATTTAAAACAGGTGCACATGAAACACTACAATTAAAATGGAAGATCATCTTCATCAAACCAGAGTTGGCTACGAAAATGTGACATTCATATTGCAGATGCGAAAGTCTTTATGTAAAGAACAGACCACCTCAGGCCCTGATGAGATGAAAAACACAAAATCAAAAGAATATATTTTCTTCGGATTTATTTACAAAATAATATTTAGCTATCACCCTATGAACTATCACATGGTCTCGACTTAAAGAGAAGGTTGAGTTCTGGGAAGAGGTGAGAAATAGTATGTGAGTGTTATCATTCTTATTATGCAAGTGTGGAAGAACATCAGATAAGACATGTTCCCTGAAAAGCATGGCTCTTCAAATGCCTTTATATTTTAAATATGTCATGTAACTCGTAAAACTCGGGGGGTAGGTTTTTTACGCCACGTGTTCGTGTAGTCCCATATACATCTTTCTCTGTACAGTGTTTGTAACTTTACCAAGACTTGGCCAAATTTCTTATCATTTTGATGATTCCAGAACCTTGCAATACACACAAATTCTTATATGCTAGATGATCAACCTTTTCTGGTCGATTTCACACCGTTTCTTTCACAATGCAATCGCATGACCAGAACTCAACTTCATCTTTAAAAAAGAAGGAAATAAAAACAAATTCTTGTCTTTTATTTATTCAAACAGTCGAGATGAAACAAGAAACAATTGACATTATTACCTTCTTGACGATTTGTGCCTGGAATCCTTGTAACGATCTCTAACTCTGTCATCTTTATCTTCCTCTTTCTCCTTGAGTCGTTTCTCTCTCTCCTTGTCCTTATCCCGATCACGATCCCGCTCGAGATCGCGACTCAGGTCTCGACTCCGGCTGGAATGCTCGCGATCGCCCCGATCGCGCTCTCGATCTCTGTCTCTTGTTTCCCGGTCTCTGTCCCTGCCCTCCCTATCCCTGTCACGATCCCGGTCCCTATCCCGATCGCGGTCCCTGTCCCGATCTCGTTCTCTGGTTTTGTCTCTACTCCTGTCCCGGCTTCGGTCCGGGCTTCTGTCTCTGCTTGGCCTATCTCGTCTTTCCCTGCTGAATTCTCTCACCTTGTCTGCCTCCGCTTTACTGTAAACAGAACAAGAATATATTTTTCATTATGACATCAGGATATCTTAGAGAAACACTCAAGTGGAGTGCCCCAAGGACCTACCTTAGAGCCTTATATATTTTAAACGAATACTTGTGAAAAATATGAATTGAATATAAACAAATATCTAAATATTTCTACCAACATAAATATCTTTCATAATAAATTTAAACAATCTTTTCTCCACTAGATTGGACAAAAAATTCACAAACATCAATGACTATTACATAATGGAAATACACCTATCCTAACAAATATTTTTCATGCCCAAAATAGGTTAGGCAAAATGTGGTACATTTACGAATAACTTTGCGTGACTTTAAAGTAAACATTAAATACTATCTTTAATAGGAAAGGTAGAATTCAACCATACCTGTTGAGGAATTTACTGAATTCCCTGATGTCTCTGTCATAGTCGGACTCTTTACGATCTTCACTGCCACTGTAACCAAGAAAAGAAAATGGAATGACTCTTAATAATGTTCCTGCTATTCCATTTTCTAAGAAATGGCACTTATATTAGATCTGGAAATCTAAACCAACATCATCTTTTTTATTAAGGTTCTAAATAATGATAAGCATACCAACAACTGGGATTTTAGTGCATTTCAGCCATATAGTGAGAATAAAAGGCGAATCGGCTTCAAATCATAGATAATCACACTACTGGTCTGACGTCACTGCGATTCTGAGCCAATTCAGCCTTTCCCTCTCCAAGGAAGCATGAAATCCCTTGAATTTAGATTTTGAATAATCATGGCAGCGTCTCACGAAACCGTCATAAGTACAAGTTCAACCAAATCCCAGTGAAATGTGTGTATTAGGCTTAACACGTTTCAATGGGATGTCGGTGAACTTGTACTTATGATGGTGTCATGAAACGCTTCCCTGATGACTATTCAGATCTTCAGTTATTAAGATCTTACATGTTTGAATGTTCATATAAAATGTTCAATCACAAATTCTGACAAAATTGGATCCTACTTCTTCACAATTCAACCAGGATGTCCATTGACATCAGAGAAATAGGGTTTGTACAAATAAAATGAACTTTTCTGAAGTTTGATTGGTAAATTAATTACAAAGTTGGACTTAAAATTGTCATAATTTGCTGTTTCCATCTTCATTAGCAGGAAAAGCAATCACTTTTATTGTTCCTTTATGCTTCATGTATTCTTCAGGAATAATAAGAAATGATTTAAAAGTGCTAGTTCACACAATTTTTTCATGATGTGAAAGGCAAGATCAATATTTCTCCAAGAGAAAGAATGATACAAGAACCCTAACTCATCAAACCAAAAGCAATCGTCACAAACATTTTTCTTCTACATTTTTCTTCTCATAATGAAGTGATCCAGTACACACAGATCCCCTAAATTTTGCTCCACACCCCCCCCCCCCCCCCAAGAAAAAAGTTTGTTGAGAAACCCTGCATAAGACAAATACAAACTAATTCATCAGTCAGGAACCCCATAACTTTTACAAGCAGATCGCCTGTCTGATTATCAAGATATTTATGATTGGAAATCGAAACCAAATTTTGCGTTTTCCTAACAGTTTTCCTAACACTACAGTCTCTGGGGAAAACAAGTATGGTAAAACTGGTCACTCAAAGATTGTTACATTTTTGATGCACTTCTTGATCATTTTAAAGCGTGATTGTTGTTTAGGGCTTCAATATTACAGCATATAACATACACTGATAACATGTAGGGCTGTGCATCTCAGATTTAAAGGGACTTTGTAACATTGTTCAGATGAGAGATAGTGGTGCTAAGGTGGTGACTTCAATGCTAGATGTACAATTAAAGATAATCTGAAAATTTGAGCGAAAACGGACCATTATTCATGGTACAAATTTGGAAAAACTGATCCGATCGATTCCTTAATTCTCCCAACTATATTATTACAATTTAATTACATTTTACGTGAATGGAAATCTCACAAAGCAATAAAATGGCTCTACATTCCATTCCAGACATTTAAGTGTTGACAGATTTTTTATAGCCTGTTTTTATGTCTTTTTTTCATGGAAAAACGGTTGGGAAAATTCAAAAATGGTTGGGAGAATTTAGATTCAGAAGCGCCGCACATCGACGCCCGTTCAAAAACCTGTTGAACTTTGTTAAAAATCTTCATATTGCGTGAATTAATTTCGGATTTGGGGCATCTTAGTTGGATAATCCATACATACAAACATTATTTTACGTGTTTTGCATCCTGATTCAACAGATTTGTGAAATCAACCATCACAATGTTACTAAGTACCTTTAACATTGTTAAACGATGCCTTGAAACTCACCTGCTGATATCACTTTCTGAATCACTGCCTCGGTTACTAGTAGCCCAGTTAGACTTGAACTGAGAGTAAGCCTTGGACTCCCCAGACTTGGGTGCCATACCTGCGGATCCAGACAGAGGAGGAGGGGGTCCAGACCCAATAGGTGGGCCACCAGGACCTGGACCTGGACCCGGTCCTGGTCCTGGTCCCATTCCTGGGCCCATGGGAAGGGGCTGGTCGTAGAAGGGTGGTGGAGGTCCATCTAGGTTTAAAGTTTAAAAAAGGGTTAAAGTCGATACCTTTAGCAATATATGACATAATTGATTGTAAGACTGATAATATGACTCAGTCATATTATATACCGTAAATGATGTCTCATATAATTATTTTATGCCCTTTTTTATCCAATACCTTTGCTTATATGCATATTTCCATTTTTGGATCATTATTATTACCACTCATTGTGTGTATATATTTGTACCAACCAGTGACAGATGAATTTCCTGATAAAGACAATAAATGTATATACTTATAATTCAACATAAGTTTAATCTTTCTAAGAGTACATCATCAGCATGATTTATTAAATTCAGCATTTTCCCTAATACAAGAGGTAACTGACTTTCACAACATGATAACACTCACTCCCTTCACTTCTTCTTGTCTCGAGCAACTCTTCCAAGAAATCGAGACACACCCTAACACCCCAGTCCCACTGGCGAGACACACACCATATCGACATGGACCAAACAAATATTACATTAATCCACGTGACCAAGAATTGGTCTGTTCAGAGACAGTGTGGAGTTGGTCTGGTGGTGTGACTACAAAATGTAGAGGATTTAGAAGAATTTACATTTTCTGTTAAAGGATAAATGCTGAAGTCTTCAATGTATTTCCTTTAATTGATACTAATGCCATCTTGAAAGATGTCTAACTTTCTTTCCCCATACGATTGCAAATATATCCTCATACGTGAAAGGTTTTTGATGAGAAACTATCACAAACCTGGTCTTCCAAAGGGAGGGGGCGGTCTGTTCCAGTTGCCTCCAGGAGGGGGTCCCATCGGTGGGGGTCCATGTGGGCCTGGTGGAGGAGGGCCTCCCATTCTAGGTGGGGGTCCTTGCATCCCCATCATGGGTGGGGGACCACCCATTGGAGGGCGGGGCCCCCTCCCCATGCCCATAGGAGGTGGGCCCATGTTGGGGGGCGGGGGACCACCGTGCATGCCCATTGGGGGTGGTGGGCCCGACATAGGGGGGCCCGACATAGGAGGGCCTCCAGACTGTGGTGGATAATTACCATCTGCAAATAATCAAAATCAATTATGTGAATTCATTTTCAACCAAAGATGCTGTGATATCAAAAGAGCTGCTCCAATATGCATAAAATGGAAACTGAGATAACTTCGTTAATTTATTGAAAACTGACATTCCCGGTAGAGTTTTCACATATAGCTGCTTTTTTTGTGTCCTTAGCACTCTATATAATGTGGTCATACATACCTTCCAACGAACTTTCAATGAAGATAGCAATAGCTTAATCATCTTAAAATTGCCAATTTCTATTGCAAAATAGCTTCCAATTCTCCTACACTTCATAAAATCATTGAGGTATCACCAACTAAAATTCCTCAATATTGCTCAACGTTCTCTTAAACACCGAAATATTTACTGATATCATCCAAACTATCAGAGAGAGGTAACTTGTGATAACGCTTACCTCCAAACATCGGTCGTGGTGGCCCTGAGAAGTTTGGAGGGGGTAGATTCGATGGGGGTCCTCCCATGTTAGGAGGGGGCCCTGTCATATGGGGCGGAGGTGGTCCTGGAGGAGGGCCTGGAGTTATAGAAAGAGACGGCATATCAATTAATGTCAGACAAAACCAAGACTTCCCGTTATCATACTTCTCTTTAATAGATGAATTAATACATGGATTCAATTTTTCATGTATGCTTCCACTTAATAATTACTCTTTACTATCCAAAAAGTTACCCAAGGCTTGTCTGGACAAAGCGTATTGACAATTGAAATATATCATGGAAATTAGGCTCTAGTAGAAGCAGCGTCCATTAATCTTTTAAAACATTTGTGAACTGGTATATATATATATATATCAAATTTATGCATATTTACGCGTACTTGTATCATCAATCATACATTGGCAATTTATTCATACATTATTAGGTACACCATTCTTTCATTCCAACACCCACCTTCTATTTATCTATCCATCAGTCCGTTCATCCATCCACCCTTACATCAATCTATCAACCAATCAATCTATCCTTCCATCCACTCTTCTGTCCATCCATCTATCCATTCATCCATCCATCTATGCATCCACCCAATGTTTTCAGTCTAAACTATTGATGATATCTTGTCTTAATTAGGTACCTGTACACTAATCTTCCATTCCAACATCCATTTATTTCATCCAAATCCATCTTCTATTTACTTATCCATCAATCTATTCATCCATACATTAACTCATTCATTCATCCATCCATCCATCCATTCATTCATTTATCCATTCATTCATCCATCCATCCATCCATCCATCCATCCATCCATCCATCCATCCATACATCCATCCATCCATCCATCCATACATTCACTCATTCATTCATCCATCCATCCATCCATTCATTTTTTATCCATTCATCCATCCATCCATCCATCCATCCATCCATCCATCAATCCATCCATACATTCACTCATTCATTCATCCATACATCCTTCCATTCATTTATCCATTCATCCATCCATCTATCCATCCATTCATCCATCCATCCATCCATCCATTCACCCTTACATCAATCTATCCTTCCATCCACTATTTCACCCATCCATCCATCCACTCTTCCGTCCATCCATCTCTCCATCCATCCATTCACTCATCCACCCAATTCTGTCAGTCTAAACTATTGATGTCTTGTCATTCATTAGGTACACTGATCTTCCATTCCAACATCCATATATTTCATCTAAATCCATCTTCTATATATTTATCCATCAATCTATTCATCCATACATTCGCTCATTCATTCATCCATTCATCCATCCATTCATTTATCCATTCATTCATCCATCCATCCATCCATCCATCCATCCATCCATCCGTCCACCCGTCCATCCATTCATCCATCCATCCATCCATTCATCCATTTACCATTCATTCATCCATCCATCCACCTTTACATCAATCTATCAACCAATCAATCTATCCTTCCATCCACTCTTCCACCCATCCACCCACCCACCCTCCCATCCCTTCATCAATCCACCCCTCCCCTCACCCCATCAGTACTCACCCCTTGGCCCCATCCCCGGAGGACCCATCCCGGGCGGGGGCATCCCTGGCGGAGGCTTGGAGAAGTCTGGCATGTTAGGTGGAGGTAGGGTAGCTGACGGAGGAGGTTGTGGCATTGGAGGGGCGTTGCCAGGCTGGCCGTAGGTTGACTGCATCGGTTGAACTGCTGGACTAGGGGTGCTGTTGATGCTACTGATGGAGCTGATGGTGCTGATGTTGTTCACTCCTGGACTAGTGACGCTGGTACCACTGCTGTAAATCATCAAGGAAAGAGAGATTCATTTTACATTGTACTGATAACCTTCCAGGAGTGTTTCACAAAGATCCAAAGTTGAACTTATCTCTAATTTTGATTTTAAAACTATGGAAAGCCGTTACATCTTTAACTAGATGGAACTTTGACTGCGCGCAGTCAAAAATGATGCCTCCGCCATAGAGCAATTTTACAAACCAAAACAGAAACAATTTTTAAATTCAAGTTTGATTGTAATCCATCTGTGGGTTTTAATGATAATGCATGCACAAGCTATTTTTGGCATACATAATGAGCCATGTGACCTTTGACCTTCGACCTGGTGACCCCAAAATCTAATCAGTTCATTGGCTCTGCAAGATACATACATGACTTGAGTTTGATAGTAATCTGTCTATTTGATCTCATGATAATGCGATCACAAGCTATTGTTGGATACATAAAGACCCCTGTGACCTTTGACCTGGTGACCCCAAAATCGAATCATTTCATTGGCTCTGCAAGATACATACATGACCTGAGTTTGGCAGGAATCCATCAATCGGTTCTTGAGATAATGCGATCACAAGCTATTTTGCATACATAATGAGCCCTGTGACCTTTGACCTTCGACCTTGTGACCCCAAAATCTAATCAGTTCATTGGCTCTGCAAGATACATCCATGACTTAAGTTTGGCAGGAATCCATCAATCAGTTCTTGAGATAACGCGATCACGAGCCATTTTCGCATACATAATGAGCCCTGTGACCTTTGACCTTGGATCTCGTGACCCCAAAATCTAATCAGTTCATTGGCTCTGTGAGATACATACATGACTTAAGTTTGGCAGGAATCCATAAATCGGTTCTTGAGATAACGCGATCACGAGCCATTTTCGCATAAATAATGAGCCCTGTGACCTTTGACCTTGGATCTCGTGACCCCAAAATCTAATCAGTTCATTGGCTCTGTGAGATACATACATGACCCAAGTTTGGCGGGAATCAACCAATCGGTTCTTGAGATAACGCGATCACGAGAACGGGACGTACGGACGTACGGACGGACGTACGTACGGACGGACGTACGGACGGACGGACAACCCAAAAACATAATGCCTCCAGCTACTTTGTAGCGGAGGCATAAAAATATTTTGTAAAAGTTATTTTAAAAGGCATAAAATGTTGATTCAAATCATTCATATTTCCTATTATCATGGAAGATTTCATGTTTTCGATGTGAAATTTATAAAAAGTCTAAAATACTTGAATTTTTGCATTTGAATATATTTATTTTAAGGCTACAAATGGCTTTCCATAAGTCAACTTTAGAGTTAAGTTTGACTTGAGATCTTTGTGAAACACCCCCCATGGACCTACAATGTTGACCTTCAACCGCGAGTCTGTGGAAGCACACATCTACACATGAATATTCCAACTATAATTTAAATTCTATTGTATTGTTGGTGTCTCACAATTCAGTAGTTACAATATCATTGATCTTTAACTTCAGATTTAGAGAAAGTAGACACAGCAAGCCTAGTTAGTCCTGAAGTTAATAGAATATTCTAACAAAAATATGCATGAAATAATATAATGTGCACAGCTTACAACAAAATACAAAGTCTTCTTTCATGAGGCAATGTTTGAAATTGTTACATAAGACTTTGAAAAATGGGATTTGATCCAATTTAGAAATTCAACACAATATTCCTCTTTGTACATTAGAATCCCAACAACTTTCTTCACAGATTGACTGTGTTTTAAAATGTTCCTATGAAAGACAACAGCGCAACTCACAAGCCTGGTGCACTGCTGGGCGCTCCCAAGACAGTGATGGAACCCCCGATGTTCTCCTTGTTATCCTTGTGGACACCCCTACCACCAACGGTTGAGATGGAGGAGTAGGAGGACTTGTTGTTAGGGGCGACCGGGATGGACGAGTAGGAATTAGCAATCTCTCGTTCCTTCTCCTTGAATGACTTGTAGCTGGAGGTGCTACCCATGCTGTCCCTGCGGCGGTTGGAGCCACGGGTTGCTGCATAGTTTCTTCACACAGCCAAAAGAAGAGGAGGAATTTAGAGAAAACATGTTAATGTACAGCATATACATGTAGAGTGGTGAAGTGTGATCAAAAATCTATTTTTAGAATTTCTCCATTTTTTCTTCATTTTTCGATAGAGCATCAGAAATAATGTCTAAATTTCGAAAACCAATTGCATATGTTAAGTATTGCTATGAGCCAGAGCAAAATAACACTGAGTTCCTATAGGAAATCTGTTTATTCAGATGGTCATATGACAGCTAATACTTAACATATTCAATTGGTTTTCGACATTTGGACTTTATTTTTGATGCTCTTTCAGAAAATGAAGAAAAAATTGAGAAATTCTAAAAATAGATTTTTATGATGTCACAGCTTCGGTACTCTATTACATATCAAGACCCAACTTCGAATAGATTTTTGATAATGAAAATGCCCGATCGGTCAAGTCGGGCAGTTAAACAAAAGGTCATGGGTTAGACATTATTTGAAGTCTATCGGTGATCAGTCATTTCTCTAAAAGCAGGGCTCAATTTCAATTACAAAGCAAATTTCATTGTACTTCTTTACATGACCATGATAGATTTCAATCATGAAGAATTTATCAATTGACAATTTTTATTCAAACTAAACTTTGGACTAGATCTTGGCCTAGGAAAACTGTTCTTTAAAAAAAAAGTGTTTCAAGCCTGTTAACGTCCGAAGGTGTTGTATAAAAAAAAATAGTGAATGGTCTTTATTCGTAAAATGGAACAAGATTTTGTATTACGTGAAAGATGAGATGCTCTATTCAACTCGGCTGCGCCTGGTTGGATAGAGCATCTCGTATCTTTCACCTCGTACAAAATCTTGTACCATTGCGCTCATGGCCATTCACCATTTGTATATGATGAAACAGTAATGGCTGATGATAACTTACGACTGTCAGGAGTAGTGGGTTCCTTGGATGAAGATGCGGTAGGTGTGTATGGCATCTGTAATGTAAAAAAAAAGGGGAAAGAAAAAGGTATACATTTTTTTTAATGAAAAAGAAATACATTCTTAAATATGAAGCATGCTTTCCACATGGAATCAAATTTGAAAAGACACATATATCTTGTAAATGTATGATATTTTGATGCAATAAGGGATTTTTTTTTTACTGATTGTGAAAACAGATCTATTTCTCAAATCAGAAAGACAAACAATAGTTGCAGACTTACAAAGTTTTTGACTGGTAATGAAACTCCTCCGGTTTCTGATCTTAATCTCCTCTGCTTCTCGCAATACGCTGTCCACGATTCCTCGTTGAAACCATAGTTGAAATAGTCCGTCAGATCGGCACCTGCAATGAGAGGTCAAAGGTCACATTCAATACTTGCAATCCAAGTTATCAACCATGCATATCTCACTTGATTATCAAAGACAGATAGAGATCAATAAATGATATTTTATTGCATCTTTCATGAATGGCAATTTCACAACCGAATTGCACATGAATTACACGAATTGGATATATATATACATTGTGAAAAACTTACAGAACATTTAGTTAAAACTTAAAAACTATTTTAATGTGTCATGTTACTACTACCTAAATACCATAAACAATTAAAAACAGTATGTATTTATCATACAATGTAGGGGAGCTATTGGAAGGAGATATACCAAGGGGTAAATTCTCCCCTACAGACAAGTACCGACTACTTCAGACCTACAAAAATGCTGGGCTCTGTACATTCATTAATGTTCTGCAAGGCTGTTTTACCTCATTTGCACCAAGCCTAAATACATGTACTTAAAATTCTGCAAACATTTGTACTTGAATTTTGATTAAAGTTGACCATTTATGAGATGGAACTACTCCTATATCGTGGGACTGTAATATTAATAATACCGTAAATCTCTGCGTATAAGGCACACTTTTTTTCCATGCACCTATTAGATTTGAAAGTTGCAGAATGCACTTAAAATCAAATGCTCAAGATACGCTTGTGAAATAAAAACAAAAAACAAGATCACATAAAAGCATCTGCATTATAAACAAAGGAACAGAAGATAGATAGAACATACAAAAATGACAGAAAAATTATTTATACAACCAATTAAACAGATAGGTTTTAAGATTATTTTTTAAACAATTCAACTGATCTGCTATTACGAATCTCTTGAGGGAGAGCATTCCACAGCAAAGGCCCTGCATGAGCAGAGGTTCTTTCCCCAGACTTAGTATTGAGCTTATACCCTTTTCTAACTGCACTGATTTTCATCGGATGCATCCGGACTCATCCGATGAAACGTCCGGTTAGAAAGCAACAGAGGAGAAAAGGGCGATTAAATAGCCGATGAAAAGAAGAGAAATAGGCGATTAAATTCTCATTCTATCGGTGTGACACCGATGAAACAGCCAGTTAGAAATCGTTCGGGAGAAAAAGGCGATTAAAATAGCGATTAAAATGGTCAAAGGTCGCAGTATACGCACGCTTTATCGTAACCAGCTGTGTTTGCTGACTTGTGGTTGAACATGCTGCGTGCTAGCTAGATGGAGCGCGGGCTTAATAATTACGCAATAATTCTTCACTTCCGGCAAGGGCTCGCCACAGCGAGTGAATTTCACCGGCAGTTAGAAATCGACAGGGGGGAACCGAAGGAAAATTCAATCAGTATTTTCATCAGTGTGACTCCGATAAAATCCAGTTAGAAAGTAGTAATAGAAAGAACAAGAAATCTGAAGTTTCTAGAGCGTTAAGACCTGGAAGGAATGTTAAGATCTATCAAATTAATATTGTATTGTTTTAAAACTTTAAAGAGCCAATTTTAGTCAAGCTTTTTTTTTAAAGATGAATGAGTTTACCTGGCTTCCTCCATGGCTTGTCCTCCTGTGCTTCAAGCTCATAAGAATACAACCCAACACCATTGACGTTGCTCTCTGCTTCAATGTCCAGACCTTTGCCAACTGGTTTAGGATGAGATACTGCTGGTGTCGTTGCTGAAATATAATAATCGATAGCACAATTATTCCTACGTAGTATAGATTATTTTTAGAAAGAAATGTTTCTACAAATGCTTCGACATACTTGTCAAATAGTTCCACTGGTTAATTACATGCCCTTCAAAAAAAGAAGGAAAGAGAGTAGAAATCTAATACTGGGACTTATTTAAAGCTATACACATATACTGCTAACTGTAGTGATGTCACTTTAACAAAGGATGTGTTTATGGTTTGCATATTTGAGGGGGCTTATTTCTTTCATTTACAATGACCTTCAGTATCAAACCAAATTTATTGCCTACAAAAGAATATAACTTAGCTATAAAAAGGTTTGAAACAACCAAGTACAAAACAAAAGAAAAAACAGCTCTTTAACTTGAAAAAAACTTATTTACTGCAGTTCTACTACGCATTCCTGATATCAATATCAAATTAATGCAAGAAAATAAACCCATATTGCTGCCCTGGATAAATGGCGCAATGAGGTATAGACTGTAACACGCTAAATTTTTAGCTACATTGTTACTCACCTGGTTGACTAGTTGGTGTGGCGACCTTTGTGTATGGGGAATGTTTCACCGCAGTTTGTCCATATGACCTGAAAGTGGCAAAGGGTTAAACATAAACCAGGCAATTACTGTAGTGTAGTCTAATGAGAAGCAAGGTCATATAGGCAGAGATGCCAACCTCTCGACACAAAAAAACAGACTGAGTATCCTAAAAAATCAGATTTTCACGAAAACTTGACACTACCAATGGCCGGTTGGCCCCGGGCCAGTAAAATTTCAGAAAAATGTGATACTGGTACATACAGTTAAGTAAAATGTTTGCTCTTTCATTAAAATTTGAAAAGAAAATTGTAAAGCAAAGTTTTTGTTGGGGCTGCAGGGGTTTACTTGTTCATGTTTTAATGCGATTCCGTGGTTTTTATGGGTATTTAAAAAAAAAATTAAAAATTGTAAAGCAAAGTCTTTGTTGCGGCTGCGGGGGTTTACTTGTTCATATTTTAATGCGATTTTGTGGTTTTTATGGGTATTAAAAAATAAAAAAATAAATAAATAAATAACAAATAAAATTTTTTTTTTGAAAAATCGTATTTTAAGAGGTGATATCATATTATCGTATTCCACTCTTACTATCGTACTAAATACTATTAAATTGTACTGGCTGGCACCTCTGTATATGTATGGGTTTTAAAAAGCTTACTGAATTCTTTGAAATGAAACCTCTATCTATGATTCCTATGAGTTTGGAGTTATTTCAACAATAATACAAATATAATTCTCATTCAAAATATTATTTTTTATAATCAATCAGAAACATTCATTTTTAAACTCTAAAACTGTTACCATCTTACGTTATTGGATCAGTATTTCATTCATTCATTTTGATTCAGAGTCACATGTACTCTCACAATTATGTATGTATGTATTTGTAATCCATGAATTCAAAATGTATCATTTTTTAACTTCTATACTGGTTGTGGTACTCTACAAGCACACTGAGGGTGAAAGCCCGTCTGCGCTAGTTTGGCCAGGAAGGATTAGACCACCCAGCGTGGTCAATGGCAGGTGGTTATCTCATCAACTCAGCTCTCAATTAACAGAAGAAAAAGAGGATCATGAAGACCAATGGTCACCAATTAGGCATTGTTTTCTATATAGAGGGAGCAAGGAGCTACAAGTAGAGCAGTGGGGATTTAAATCAAACCATTTCTGACTTACACATGGGGGGTTGTTGGTCCTGTCTTGATAGGGCCAATGGTAACCTCCACCTGGTCTTCATCGCTATCATCGTCACTATCATCGCTATCGTCATCATCGTCGTCGTTATCATCACCACCACCCCCATCATCTGCTCCTGGGTCTTTAGCCTGTGTCTCGGCAGCCCCCTCCTCAGGTGGAGCATCAACTTGCATGGGTTCCTGGAGAATAATGGGATTTGAGGAATTATTCTGATGTACAGCTAACTGCAGGCCTTAAATTAATCGACGGCCATCGACGGCCAGGCCGTCGATGCCCCTATGACTGGCCGCGGTGCCCTCCCAAAAAAAGATATATTCACGGCCAAAAAGGCCGTGCCCTTTTTTTTCAAACTGGCCGACGTGCCTTTTTTTCCAACTGGACGTGCCCTTTTTATTTTAAATTTGCGCACATAAAACCACCAATTGCGCCCATAATCATCTAAAACTAGACGGCAAGGCGCAAGTGTTTTCCGTGAAAATGCGCCCTAAATTATTAGAACAGTAAAAATACACGAATCACGAACAGTTTGCCGCGCGCCCCGAGCTCTCTTCTAGCTTCGTATTTAGTGCTTTAATAAGGCGCAAGTGCCATGAAAATGCGCCCTTTGTTATTATATAGGCAATGCGCTAGCGCACGTACGTACGTACGTTCATATTATGCGATCGCATGCATGATGCTTATGGTGCATGCTGTTGACGCACGCACGTACGTACAAATCGAATGCCAGGATCAAGAAAACAAATCGTCAAATGGAGAAATAAACAAGCATTCAAATAGTCATAAGAGATCTGTCGAGGTTTGTTTGTAGGCCTAGTTTATTATTTTATCTCAAATAGAATTTAAAATTATCTTATTTATAAGTTAAGAACACCTACGATGTTCTCGATCGTAGTTACTCTCATTTTGCCACCAGCCGACCTCGCTTCAAAAAGCTACCCCGCCAGCTTCCCAAGACGAACGTTTCGAGTCCCGGTAAAATTCCGAGGGTGCATCGGTTTCGCTGGCAAACTTCCAGCCCGACAGCTTCCCACCAAAAGTGGCGAGAGTGTGTGTGCGAGGAACGATTTTGGTTTCGTGAATGCACGTTACGCAACTGAGCTGAGCGTGTCACTTTCAGCTGTCGAATGTCTATAAGGACATTTTTACATCTTATTTCATTAGTTAGGCCTATGTAGACCTTTCTATACAACAGTTAAAAAGATAATTTCTTCAAATTTGCTCCTACTACCGAGAGAGTGGCGGAAGGTTTGTGTGTGAGGTGCGATTTTGATTTGGAATACCCGGCCCGGTAAACTTGCCAATTAAGTCCTTCTGACTTTCGATGTTTGTGAAATTGACAATTTGTTTATTCATTTGCTCATCAATATTTTTAGTTACTTTAAATTAAAATACTGTTTAATGTGCAAGTTTGATGTTCTTAATCAATCTTTCCTGTTCAGATTGTTAAGATTAAAAAGTTATTAAATTGATCGTTCGATCTATTCACATTATGAAATTAACATTTGTAGACTCTCTTTGAACTTATGATTAGATAAGCGGCCTATCTGTTTTTGGAAAATTGCCCCTTGCTCTGGTAAATTCCCGTGGCAAAGGGCAACTTAAAAAAAAAATTGCCCCTTGCTCCTGGCTGCTAAATCTAAGGCTTGCGGGCCGCCGCCTTGTTTGCAGGCGCGTAGCCAGAGTTTAGTGTTTGGGGGGCACATACATCATGATACATGTAATCGATCGAGGTCAAAAAAGGGGTCTACAAAATTTCAACCGATCCTGGAAATTTTAGGGGGGCATGTGCCCCCCGTGCCCCCCCCCCCCCCCCCCCCGTGGCTACGCGCCTGCTTGTTTGTATGTACCGTAGACCTCTATACATTCTGTGAAGAAGCTGGTGCTAAAAGTCATGGGAAATTGATCCTGCACAAGTTTCATAAATACACATGACATCTCACAAAAATAGAATCAATTTTTTTGGCCTCATACTCGATGCCCTTTTTGTAAAATATTTTGGCCTCGATGCCCTTTTTGTAAAATATTTTGGCCTTGGTGCCCTTAAAAATATGAGGTACTCGAGGCCAAACTGGCCTTGCCCTAAAAATGACGAAATTTAAGGCCTGTAACTGCAGTGACAAAGGTATGGTGTGTGAGCTACCTATCTGCGGGGGGGGGGGGGGGGGGAAATTACCCCCAGAAATAGAACTATCGTTGTTCATTATCAAAAGTTGGGGCAGTAAATAGTATTACTGAGAGACATTTCGCAAAAAATATCTTAACCCAGTTCAATTCTGTGCATCATGATCCACATCCTACAATATGGGATTTTCTGACAAGTAAAAAATAGGTGCAGTTTATACATTACAGAAATCAAGACTCTACACATACATACGTGCACTTCTCTCTACATCCCTACCTCCTTGCACTCTTCCCCTTTTCTCTCCCTCTCTCTTCTCTCTCTCTCTCTCTCTCTCCCTCCCTACTCTCTCTCTCCATCTCCCATTAGCACTGTATCTTTTTTACCTGTGGTTCATTGTCTGGGTCTGCAGCAGATGGCACCTTGCTCATGAACGGAGGGGCATCGGCTGATAGCGAGCTGGATTTGGTCACCGCACTGAATATGACAAAAAGAACAAAATAAGTTTCTAAGAGCAACTTTGACAAAATTCAGCAAGTTATTACTTGGTTAAGAGAACTCAAACATTAAAACATCTCATATTTTCCCTTGAAGAGGACCTTAATCAGTCAGTCCTCTGGTTGCTTACTAACAAGCATTCATGCTTTCTTAGCAGTCAGGTAAAATAACCAACCAACCAACCACCAACCACCATATTTAGAGTGAACACTTTTCTTCTTAGATTTCAACAAAACTACCTAAAGTGATTTTTATGACAAAGTCAAATTTGCATGGATAAATAAGAAAATACTTATTAATTTGAAATTCTACAAAAGCTTTATAAAAACTAAAGTCTATACTACAATCGTTAGAAACGTTAAGGTAACCAACTTACGCTGGAGAAGTTGCACTAGGGACTTCTTCCTCGTTGCCATCTAGAAAAGAATGAAATGAAAATAGCATTATCATCATAAGCTCACATTATGGGTAATTTATTCACTAACTGCAATTATTAAATAAGAGTTCAAAGAGGTTTGGATAAATGAAAGGAAAGCTGAAATTTATACAAGTGTGCAGTCACTGTACACATGGGAATTTTCAAAATCATAGTTTGGCCAGAATTCTATACTATTTATTAAAAGAAAATGACAACTTTTTACAGCATAAGTGTACTTCACACCACCTGCGGGCATGCTTCATTCTATCACATACGTTGGTTTCCTAGTTCCTCATTGCCAGTCCATTGACTGTACACATAATTTGGGACTTAGTGTTGGGGAATGAAGCACGTACGCACTAGTTGGGAGAGTGCATTAACACGTTTGTGTTTTGGTGCTTTATTTGTTGTAATTGAAGAAAGGGATTTGGATTCAAACGTTCTTCTTTTAGAACGAGACCAAGCTCTACTAGAAAGTGTCGTTTAGCCTTTCCTCTCTCAGTCTCAGACTCATGCATGGCCTATAAATGCAGTCCAGGCAAAGGAGGACAGTTAAATACACCTGTAAATCAAGATTTCACAATGATAAATATTCAGTCCTCTGATGTGAAATAGCCCAGACAATTCGCATGGCTTGTCTGCCATGGCATTAAATTCCCTCTTCTGGAAAATTAAAAAAAAATGTAAAAAAAAAGGAATCTCAACTCGTCGTAATTGTTAGCATTTCGACTAAAATCCAGCTTTATTTGGTATTGTTAACATTAAATCATCCATAATCTACTTCAATCCAACATCCAGTTTGAAAATCGTTAGGTGAAACGAAAAACTAGGCAATTTAAGATCGGCCCCGTTTCGGTTTTGTTCCTTCATTAGCCTACACCGGTACGCGTACGTACGCCTGTATTTCATGTAGCTTTCTTCGGTCCCACTCGTCCATTTTGCCGAGGTCAAATTTATTTTATGAGGCATCGTGATATCCATCCCTCCATACCATTGTCATTAGAAATTTATTCACAACTTTTTTTAACATTAAGACGAATATTAAAGATGTATTTTTTTGATAGGTACTAAATTTCTTTGAAAAATTGATAGTAAAATGGATATTTTTACCTCCGTACAACCACGAATCCTCGTCCTCTTCTGCCATGTTGAGTATTTATGACTGTACCAACACAAGTCGTAGATGGCAGTTTGGACTGTCATATATATTTTTGTATTTATTTATTTATTTATGCATATTCACAATTTCACAATTCTGATATAACGAATCATTTTCAATTTTACAATTCATTTGAATTGACTTCAAAAAGAATATAACAATGTTTTATCAAAGACAAGTTGCATATCATATCATTTAAAGCATGGAATGATCTCGATTCGACATTAGTATCCCTGAGACCCTGACTGACTCAGCAAAGTTTAAAGTAGCACTCCTTCCGAAATAAGTCCACCCTCTGCCACCACGACCTCCAGTTTAAATTCCACTAGGAATCTTTTGGAGGAACAACAACCAAGTAAAGAATGAACAGACAAAGGTGATGACGGGGGTGATGAGCATATAGAGCACGAATCGTTACAACGCGACAAATAAAATTCCAAAAGGGTTGTGAAGTATTTATACTATTTACAAAGAACAAGAAAAAAGAGGTATATTATCAAGTCTATTAAAATGTCTTATAGATCATACAAGAATTATTATAACAAAAAATTTCATTTAGCATAGGCCTACAAAGCCCTACATACATGTAGCTATAACTGACTTTAATAATGAAATTTAATTGACTTCCCTCCTCTAATTTCATTAGTTATTCCTGTATTTTTACATATATTAAAATGTAGACCCTCGAGGCATATAAACATAAAATCATAAAGAATAATAATGATAGTAATAGTAAATAAATAAATAAAGAGATAGTATTTATTCATTGTTTTACCCAAACAAAGTTAAAAATTAGAGTAAAAAATCGACCTCCCTCCCCCCCCCCCCCCCCGCCCCCCCCCCCAAAAAAAAAGGGTTAGCAGAGGTGTCAGCTCCAGCAGCCGTCATCAGGCAGCGAACAGTGTGCACTCAGGGTGTCTAGGCCTTAAGCCTGACAGGTATCCATCACTTGCATGGGTCAAAAGAAACAACATGTAATTGGAAAATGCCAATAAACCGCTCCAGCATACTTTAAAGATTGTTTGAATAAGCTCACGTTGGGTTTGGGCATACATCATTTAGGGAGTTTACATTTCTTGTATTCAGGCCATGGCGGTCGAAATACATTTCTATTTCGTTTGATAAGCGAGGTGGAACAATTCCCCTTATACATTTGAACATAAGCATAGTCAGACCGGACCCCCGGGCCCCCTGGATCCGGCACTGGGGGGGGGGGGCGGGGTGCGACACCCCCACCTGTCAGGGTGTTGGCGGTAAAATTGCGCTGCTGTCGGGGAAAATGAGGTAAGGGGGGGGGGACAAAAGAGAGGGAAAGGGAAGAAAAAATAGAAATGAAAAAGAAGGAAAGAAAGGAAATAGAAGAGAAGAAAGAAAAAGAAAAAAGAAAAGAGGAAGGAAAGGAAAGAAAGGAAAAGAAAGAAAAAGCGAAAGGAAAAAAGAAGAGAAAAGGGGAATAAAAGAAACGGGGGATGAAAGAGAAGAGAGAGAGAGAGGGGGTAAGAGCCTGAGAGAAGAGGGGTGGGAGTAAAAAAGAAAGGGGGATGTTGGGTGGAGTCACCACGTCGAGGGGGCAAGAAAGACACTCATAGTTATAATCATGTTGCTGTGTAGGATCCGCTGTGTCGGTATTCTTGCTCGATCCTCGTTTACTATCTTCCGCGCTTCGCGAGGGATGGGGGAAACTGAATTCAGACAAGGATTACGAAATGAAAACAGTAAAACGAATCGCCTTCTATCTCTAATAATTTAATGAAACGTCAAAGATTCCGCGCTTTGCGCGGGAGGGAGAAAACTGAATTCAGACAAGGATTAAGAGTCGAGAACGGTACAACGAATTATTTCTTATAATTTAAAGAAACGAAAAGCTTCCGCGCTGGCCGAAAAGTCGCTCAGTGTGGGGGGGGGGGGGGGGGTGGGGGGGGGGGGGGGGGGGGGGGGGGGGGGGGGGGGGG